TAATTTATATTATTTTTTTTGGTAAGGGACCTATAGCTATAATCATCTAACAGATTGGACCCCCACCTATATAAGTTGGGGGGAGAGGGGGTTCTAGCTAATTATCCACTTTTTAAAAAAAGATCTTATTTGCTCTCCAGCAACTTATTTATAAAAAAATTAAGATCTTTTGTTACAAAATTACCAAACACTTTGGAAGAGCTTATAAGCTCTAAAACATCTTATAAGTTCCTTTCAACATCTTATATGCTTAGCCAAACACCCTCTTAATCAACATCTTATATGCTTAGCCAAACACCCTCTTTATAGAATTTTTTTTTGCCGTTCGCGTTGACTTTTCGATTTTTTTTCTTTTTCTTGTCAGTTTTTTCCGCCGCCGGTTTCTTGCGTTGACTGCAGGTCTCCGGTGTTGACTTTTTTTAGTGATTTTGTTTTCCTAAAATCATCATCCATTTTTTTACGCCCGCCGTTAAACGTTGACCGTAATTGTATAGTCATTAATAGTAATTATACTGTCGTTGACCGTACATTAACGTAATTTTACTGTCGTTTACAATACATTTATATAATTGTATTGTCGTTGACAGTATAATTAGAGTCAGCGACAATATTATTATTTTTTAGCTTTTTTTTTTTTTTTTTTCATTTTGTTAGATTTGTTGACAAGTCAACGTAATTATATTACTGTCGTCGTTTATAGTAAAATAACTGTAAACACAATAATATTACTGTGAACCACATCAATATTTTATCAACCATATCAATATTTATTAAGTTGTACTCTATGTTGTCTGTGCTTATAGCTGGACCCACAGAACCAGGGAATAATCTTGATATATATTTGCAGCCATCAATTGTTGAGTTAAAGGAACTCTTTGAGGTTGGAGTGAACACCTATGATGCTTCAACGAAAGAAAATTTTCAAATGCGTGCAGCCATATTATGGACGATTAGTGATTTCCGCGGCCTTGCATCTATAACTGGGTGGAGTACTAAATGAGAATATGCATGTCCAGTATGAGTAGAGAATATGCATCTATAATGGATTCAATTTGAAGAAAAAAATTTTGTGTTCATGCAAATGAGTTTTATTTTTGCTCGTTTGTGGGTTGAGCTTGTGTATACAATTATTTTGTTGTGTTAGTTTTACATATAAAACATTATTGTATAGTATCGGTGCATAACAATTACACACAATCGAATCGTCACTATATGCATGGTAATGGGATGTCATAAGACTATTTATCTGGACACATACGATGTTATATAATCTAACTTATTATGACAAACTAACGTCACCATAGCCACATTTTAAGACGCCTAATACCGTCACATAAAAAGGTAGTTATGGTAGTTAATTATCAATAACATGACGGGAGTGTCACAATAATGCATATTGAGACCATAAAACCGTCACAATAAATGCTTATCTAGACGCACCAAGTGTCATATAATTAACTTGTTGAGACACTCATAAACGTCACAATACCATGATTTAAAGACACCTAATACCGTCATATAAAGAGGTAGTTACGGTGGTTAGAAAAAATGTTAATGTGACGGTACCGGCCGTCACAATATACCCGTTGTTGAGGCGGAAAAAAAACATCCTAATAGTCTCTATATAGGGACGATGGGGCGTCACAACAGGATATTATGATGGCCACCTATGTGACGACTTTGGGAGACGTCGCAATAGATGAAGCGTTACAATAGTTGGCTGAAGTGACGGTTAAGGGCGTCATAATATACCTTTTTTGTAGTAGTTGAGTTTTTTGAGTCTGATGATGATTTCAACTATGATCAATATGTTGATTTTGATGCTGAATGGGGATTGTTTAGGGAAAACACTTCTAAAGCTCATGAACTTAGAAAATCAAGGAGATTCAGATCACTTGTTGACGAGGATGAGTGTACAAGCAAACAAATGAAGAGTCAATTCACTCACAATAATTTCCCTGTTTTCAATCCAAATGTTGATATGGCAAATCCACAATTTGAGATTGGCCTGTGATTTCCTGATGAAGCCACATGCCAGACATATAAAATTTGAAAAGAACGAGGAGAACAAGGTCCAAGCTATCTGTAAACACAAAACATGTCTTTGGAAAATTTATGCATCCCAGCTGAGAAATGAGGCTACCTTTCAGATTAAGATTCTTATTGCTATTCATGAGTGCACTATGAAAGAAAGGGTCACATGTGCAACTTCAAAGTGGTTGGAAAACAAATATCCAGTCATATCAGGACAAATCCCAATTGGCCTGTTGATTCCATGATGGCAGCTGTGCATAATGATTGTAAATTTTTATTTAGTAGGTGGCAAATGTATAGGGATAAAACCATGGCTAAGAAAATAAATAAAGGTTCTAGTGTGGAACAATATGGCCTTATTTGGAGATATGCCTCTGAAATTGTTAGAACTAACCCTAGCACTACTGTGAAAATCAAAACTGAAGTTGTAGGTGATGAACTTAAGTTTAAAATAATTTATTTGTGTTGGGGGCTCTAAAAAGGGGATTTCTTGATGGTTGTAGGCCTATGATCTTCCTTGATTGGTGCCACTTGAAGTTTGATTATGGTGGAATATTGCTATGCGCTGTTGATATTGATGCTAATAATGGCATGTACCCCTTTGTCTATGCAGTGGTTGAAAAGGAGAAAAGAGAATCATGGTTGTGGTTTATTAACCTGTTGAAAACTGATCTAGAGATAGGCAATTGTGGTATGTGGACAGTAATGAGTGATAAACAAAAAGGGTTGATTGATGCAGTGGACGCTCTGATGCCAAACTGTGAACATAGGTTATGTGTGATGCATTTATACTCCAACTTTAAATTGTCACATCGTAGATTAGCTCTCAAAAACATATTGTGGAAGGCTGCAAGAACATCTAGAGTTGTTGACTTTGAAAGAATTATGAGGGACCTGAACGGAATGGACAAAAGTGTATATCAATGGCTTGCTAAAAGGCCGACAACCCATTGGAGCAAAGCTTGGTTCTGTACAATATCCTAATGTGATAGCTTGCTGAATAATATGTGTGAGAGCTTTAATGCCATGATCTTAAAAGCTAGAGGTTGTCCTATAATTGACATGTTATAAGAAATTAGGATAATTCTGATGAAGAGGATTTATGTAAAAAGGGGTAAGATGGCAAAATATAATGGTGAAATATGCTCTAACATCCAAAGACAGTTGGAAGAGTTGAAGAAAAAATGAATGGAGTAAAATGCACATTGGAGTGGAAGCAACCAGTTTGAATTGGAAAGTTGCTATGGGGACAGGCTTAAGGTGAATTTGGAACATAGGGCCTGTAGTTGAAGGAGATGGCAGCTCTCTTGTATCCCTTGTGCTCATGCAATTATTGGAATGTTTTTCATGGGATACACTCCTGAAGATTATGTGGAGGACTGTTACAAGAATGAGACTTATATGAGAGTATATAGCCACTTGATGGACACCATGGAAGGGAATGATGCTTGGTCACATTCTGAAAAACAGAACTTGCTACCTCATGAGATTGAAAAAATGTCTGGAAGGCCAAAACATCATAGTAGTTAGAAGTAGCCAGATGAATGATCAACCAAAGAAATACCAGCACAAGTTGGCAGGACAATAAAAAATATTGGAAAATTAGGAAGGCAAGGAGTGGTCATGTCATGCAGTGTTTGTCACCAAAAAAATTACAATGCTCTTGGCTGTCCATTGAAGAATCCTACTGGAATTGAGAAACCAAAAAGAAAGGTAATAAGCTTTTTACTTAATATATTATTTCAGTTATAGGTCATTTTTTTTTTTATTCTAATTGTATTTGCATTTAAATTCCTAGAGAAAAACATCAAGAATGGCTGAGAAGGATCCATCGAGGGCAAAGAATGAGCCATTGATGGCTGAGTATGAACCATTACTGGATTTTGCAAGTTTTCTATGTTGTTATTTTTGCAGTTTATAAGCTTAAGTGCTAATGCATTTTTTTAACAGGTTGATAAAGAGATACTTAAGGCAACAATGAATGTGGAAGTGGAGAAAAGATCCAAAAGAAAATCCAAGTTGCAAGTAACTAGGAAAGAAAAAAGATAAGTGAAAATGGAAAATGTTGCAAGAAGAATGACACTGGTTGTTAATATGCAGTGGTAAATCTTTTTTTATTTTTTTGTAATATCCACACTTTTTGATGACTTTGTTTTGTATTAACATTTGGATGATTATGTTTTGTAAGCCTTTATGGTTCTGCATAACGAAAGTATTTTTTTGTTGGACACAATTTGTGCAAGTTGCACTATTTTTTGGCATTGTGATAGCTTTAGTATAGATTGTGCAAGTTCTACTATTTAGGATGTAATATGTTTAACTTTGTTACAGATTGTGCTAGTTGCACTATGTTTTGACAATATATTATATTACGTTATTGCGTACATTTTTTTTATATATTTTTTTTAAGAATTGCTAATCTAAGTTGGAGAAAGTGTGTATTTCTAAAATAGTCATTTTTTTCCCTTACTGTTGTTGTCTTAGTTACTCAATATAATTTTGTAAGAAGATAAATTCATGAGACCAACAAATTACATCCAAATTTTAAACACACACTACTGTAATAATAAAGCAACAAATTGCATCCAAAATTAAACACACACTACTGTAACATAATTTGTTGCTTAACATTACATCAAAATACATTACAACTGAGACAATAAAAGCATAATTTCATTATATTACATACAACAAAGAAATTAAAGCATTACAATACCAAATTCATTAACCCACAATTTTTCACTTCCTACTACAATTACAGGGATAATTACACTTTTCGTCCCTATACATTACCACTTAAACGATTTTCGTCCCTAAACAAGATGAAGTTACAATTTTCGTCCCTAAACATGTCACTTTTATGCCGTTTATGTCCCTCCGTCCATTTGTCCAGTTAGTTTGGACGGAAAATCGCACGTGCGCCGCACGTGACACACAAAAGCACCTCTACACCTCAAAACGTTCAATCACGCATTAGTATTTAATAAACTTATAGTATTAGGTTCCACCCCTTCAGTCTTCATTTTCTCGACGATTTTTTCCATCCCACTAATATCATTGGACAACCCTTTGGCACTTATCAAAACGTGGTAAGTGAAGTATGATGGCTTGATATTTTCTTTCTCCATCAACGACAAAACGTCAGAAATTTTCTTGTTGTCGGTTCTCTTGTACAGAAGTAACAACTGATTGCAGGAAAAGCATGTAACAGGGAATAAGCTCTTCATTTTGTTGAAGAGATCTTCGGATTTCTTCACATTGCCTGTAGAGACGCAGTTTGCCAGTAGGGTACGGTAGACAAGGAGCTTTGTCTGCTCCAACACTCCGACATCTACAAAAAATATAAAGTGGAAAAGTTGATTCCCCATCCAAATCTCGTATATCCAGAGACAAATACATGCATATTGCATCAGCCAACTTATAAAAGTAGAAAAACTTTATACGATACCCATGCAAAAGAAATCTGAATCTTGATTTGGAAAACAAGCTAAGCCAAATTATTTCTTTCATGAGAGCATCCTACATCATCTTAACTGACTATAAGTTCGTCAGTAGCATGTCAGAATTACGGTACACAATTGATTGATTCTAATCGAGACTGAGGGATCTCTCCAGCCAAACAAAGGCTCTCAATTGGCTACAAAGTGAAAGATTCGTTCACCGTTCTTATATAAAATAAACTCAAGAAGTTCAACCACATCACCGTAGCTACCTCTTAAATCTTGAGTATGATACAACAAAAACCGAAATGAAGACTAAAATTTTATACAGTAAAAAAAAGTCGGAAAATAAAACACACCTTCAAGGCCTTGACGAACATTCGCCGCTTCCGAAGATTAACCATGGTTGAAGACACTTCTGGTTTAGTCAGCTCGTTTCCTTCTTTGACCCATTGATCCAAAACCTTGACCACCGATACAATCGGAGCACCCAGTACAGCCTTTGTGAATGCTGAATGAGGATTAGTTTTGGGAAAACTTTTCTTTTCAGCATCACCCTCAGTAGTGACACTCTTACCCTCGTACAGATCTGATTCAGACATTGAATCATCTACGTCATCTGCAGAAGCAGCTTTTCGGACTGCACCAAGTGGAGCTTCGAGTTCGGAAAAAGCATCCTCCAAATCATCATCTTGCTCGACTCTGCTCTTTGCACCGGCTTTTGAAAAAAGAGTGCGTACATTCATATACGAGTTTGAAGAGCTTGGTGATGCGTTGAAAGATCTCGTTCAACACACCGATGCAGCTAACACCGATGGAACACACTTATTTTGAGGTGTAGAGGTGTTTTTGTGTGTCACGTGCGGCGCACGTGCGATTTTCCGTCCAAACTAACTGGACAAATGGACGGAGGGACAGAAACGGCATAAAAGTGACATGTTTAGGGACGAAAATTGTAACTTCATCTTGTTTAGGGACGAAAATCGTTTAAGTAGTAATGTATAGGGACGAAAAGTGTAATTATCCCACAATTACACATAGTCAGATACATGGGAACATTACATTTTTCGTCCTCATACTTTACTCACTTTTTCAAAATTGTCCCTAAACATTTTGGAGTTACAATAGTAGTCCTTAATTTTGCCATTTTTTGACAGAATTGGTCCGCCGTTAATTTTTGCCGTTAAGTTGGATGGAAAATGGCATGTGCCTCTCACATGCCTTCAATTTACAACACTACATGAAAATGGAGTTTCAACAACACGCATTGCGTCTTGTTAAAACAGATTTTTCATAATTAAAACTTGATTGAAATTCGAAATTATATAAATTCCAAAAAACAAAATCGATATATATTGTTTTAAATTATTTTGAGAAATATTCTTTAAAAAATTGAAACATTGTTTTAAAAAATGAAATATTGCTTTCAAAATCAAGATTTTCGGAATTCAAATGAAAACATTGTTTCAAAATAAAATAAAAATTCGATCCGAATATATAGGTGGGATAAGAAACCTCCATTTCAATCTTCACCCTAATTTAATAATGTAAAACTCGATAAATTGTTTCAAACTATTTTTAGAAGCATTGTCTAAAATAATAATATAATGTTTTAAAACCGGATTTTTTTGAATCCAAATGAAAATTATTGTTTTAAAAAAAATAAAAATCTGATCATAATAGGCGGAGTAAGAAAACTCCATTCCAATTTTCACCCTTATTTAATAATCTAAAACTCGATATTTGTTTTCAAAATAAATTCAGAAATATTGTTTAAAAAATCATAATATTGTCCAAATAATATTGTGTTTTAAAATCGGAACTTTTGGAAATTGAATGAATATATTATTTTAAAATAAAATAAAAATTCGATCAAACTAGGCGGCATAAGAAAAATCCTTTCCAATTTTCACCCATATTGAATGATTTAAAACTCGACATATTGTCTCACAACTGAAATTTTTGGAATTGACTAGAGGTGAAAATTGTAATGGAGATTTCTAATTCCCCAATTCCTATGAGATTTTTTATTTTGGTTTGAAACGATATATTTTAATTGAATTCCAAAAATGCCGATTTTGGAACAATATTTTAAATTTTTAAACTATATTTTGATTTTTCTTAAATAATATTTCCGAAATGAGTTGATTTTTTTGGAATTTACGTGATTTCGATATTATATTAAATTTTAATTAAAAATAATAATTATAAAAAATATGTTTTAACAAGATGCAATGTGTGTTGTTGAAAGTCCATTTTCATGTAGTGTTGTAAATTGAAGGCATGTGAGAGGCACATGCCATTTTCCATCCAACTTAACGGAAAAAATTAACGGCGGACCAATTCTGTAAAAAAATGACATGATTAAGGACTACTATTGTAACTCCAAAATGTTTAGGGACAGTTTTGAAAAAATGAGTAAAGTATGAGGACGAAAAATGTAATTTTCCCTCAGATACATCATTCAGCCACCAATATTCTGCAAAATTATTTTCTTCTTTCACAAAATAAAATACATCACACACCATGAATCTACAAACACCATCCAAATCCATTTTTCTCTCAAACTTTTATTCTTCAACTCCTCCTCGTGTTTGTTAGTCTTGCGAAGTAAACCGGGTATAATCATGCGCGATCTTTCACACATTGGAGGGTCAATCCATACAAAGTAATTGCATCCTCCAATTTCCTACAAATTTTGAATATAAAATAGAGAACTCTTTTAAGGTGTTGAAAGTATACATAAACCAAGGTATATACAAGAAAAACTACCCTGCACTTCGGAAAAGTGGAGTATCTTCTTCCTGGATTTAAATATGTCCATGAAGTTTTTGAAATTGGCTTCCTTGAACAATAGCAACTCACGTCCATTTCAAGAAAGAAAATAACAAAATAGAACAACGAAATAAGGAGCCTAGGTTACATTGCCGCAGAGTACATTATAGCAAGGGAATGAAAATAAAAAAAAAGGGAAAATCTCAGTAAAAAACGAGGGAAAATTGTTGTAAAAAGGGGGGCTAGGTTTAATTGTGATAGAATTGACAATTGTGCCCTCCTAAATCTCACATGCAGCTCATGTGGGTGTGATTTCGGCGAAATAGACGAGAATTTGCCAATTTAAGGCACCGTACCAGCATTTCCTGAGTTGAGGGGAAATTTTGTAAGACAAATTAGTCCAGGGGGTAAAGTGCAAAAGCCACTATAGTTTGGGGGGAACATTACAATTACCCTAATTTTTATCAATTCCATCAAATACAGTCTAACTTCCTCAATATTACAAATTGACCTCGTATTTGAATTACATTAACCCCATTTTAATAATTTTCTGAATATTTTTTTTTAGAAAATAAATTTTTTTCTGACTTTTTTTTGCGGCCAGATTCCGGTGTTGACTTTTTTTTTTGAAAAACTTTTCTTTACTGAATTTTTTTTTCCGGCCTCGCAACCGCCGTTAACAGCCGGTATCCGGCGTTGACTTTTTAAATTTTTAATTCTTTTCTCTCTGAATTACTGTGTTAGCAACAAAATTGTTATCTGAAATAGTAATATTGAATACGAAAACAATAATATTACTAATATTATTGTCCCAAGCAATAATATTACTGTCTCAAACAGTAAAATTACTGTCTCAGACAGTAATATTACTATTTGGGACAGTAATATTATGAACATTAATAACTAATGTTACTGTCCCAAACAATAATATTATTGCACGAGACAGTAATATTACGGTCGGAGACAACAATATTACAGTCAAAGACAGCAAAATTGCAGGCCAAGACGATAAAATTAATTACTGTCTCACAGAGTAATATTACTGTCTCAGACAATTATATTATTGTCTTCGACATTTAAATTACTGATAGAGAAAATAATTTAGCAGCCAAGACAGTAATATTAATTAAAATTATTTTTTTAAGGAAAAAAGATTCAAAAAAAAAAACTCAACGCCGAAGATAGTAATATTACTGTCTCCGACAGTTAAATTAATGTTGGAGACAGTAATTTAGCAGCCAAGACAATAATATTAATTAAAATAATTTTCTTAAGAATTGTTTTTTGAAAAAATAAAATAAAAAAGTCAACACCACCGGAAGTGGCTGGTCAAAATTGGTTAATTGGTGAGATCGGGCTAAATTAGGGTTTAAATGATCAAATTGAAGTTGAATTAGGGTTTCAAGGAATTGAGGGTAATTTACATATATATATAAAAGTGTTTTCCTTAGTTACAAATAAGTTTGAATGAGCTGGAATTATTTGGATATCCCTTGATTAATTAAGTGCCCTTGTCATGGCGCTATTTGTCATTTCCCCAAAATTTAAAGTTAGTTATACAATTAATTATTTATGGGATTATTTGACAAAATCCCCTCGATGAGACATGTGCATTTACAATGAGCCCAAATTTATTTTGCATTTTAAGATAAATCCAAAACACTTTTTACTAAAAAAAAAAAAATTCAATATCACCATTATACCCTTACCCTATTCTAAATCACGTTCCCAACGAATCCACAAATCTCGCCTTTTGATTTTCTGTATATATCACGTTCCCAATAAACGCACAAATCTCTCTTCCGCCTCTCTCTTCTTTTCGATGATTCTTCCTCCATTACGACGGTACAATCGGCTGAAGATGATGACTGGGGTTTCAGACACGAGACGTTTGATTCGCATCACGGTTGGCTTGGCGTCATCTATGGCTAGAGGCAAGGCGGTGGTTGGGTTTAGTTACAGGCGGACGCCACCGTTTGTTAGCACCCCATGACAGCGGAGGCCTTGCATCGGAAATAATTGCGGCGGTCGGAGGAGGAATCATGGTAGGTGGTGGCGCGTATGACGAGTTGCTTGATTTCGGGGTTGTGAAGGGCCGTGCGGCGGGAGAGATATGCATATAAGATGTTGATTCTCTCGGCCTATAGTATAATTGTTTGTAATTTCGATCTCCTTATTTTCTCCCTGACATTAAAGCTATTGAGAATGGAACACAGTAAAGTTACCGTTTGCTTCCATAATTCTAATAATATCATCAAACTCATATTGGTTCTTTTTTCCCACTAAAAAAATGTTCGGTTCTTTTGATATCACTTCGTATGTTATTATTTCCTTAATCTTCAACTCTTGATTATCTTTCCTTAACTGTGTTTTTTTTTTTCTATAGTGGATTTTGTAGTATGCTTGTTCACATATGCTTGCCACATAGTGGTTTTCACATAATTTGTGACTGGATTCCAATATCGTATTTTCAGTAGACGATTACTTTGATAATTGATTTATAGATAGATGAACATGTTTGTTATTGTTTAATTCTGTTAATTTTCTGGATTATTTGTTTTTTTATGGATTAGTAATGTTGTTTTTATAGTAGACCTTATTAAGTAGGACATATGTAATTTTCTAAGTTTGTTGCATATTTGAAATTAGTGATTTTGATAATACATTACTGTAATTATCCGAGCCAAGATAATTAGTGATTTTAATAATACATTACTGTAATTACCATTCCCAAGATAGTGTTGTTATATGGATATGCACAGTAGTACTTTATACTGGTGTAGTTGTTTGAATATATTGTTCTTCTGGATCTTACACATAAAATTGCTGGAATTGATGAATAATATATTTTGGCACATAAAAACCTCACTGACCACATTTCCATATACAAGTTTTGTGATCCCTATAGCAGTTGGATTTAAAACCACTTGTGGATTTTAATACAAATTTTTAATTCGATGTTTATATAGTTGGTTATACAGAGTGATTTTCATGTTAATATAATTATGTATACATAGTGGTTTTCATGTTTTTATAGTTGTTTTATACAAAGTGGTTTTCATGTTTATATAGCGGTTTATACAGAGTGGTTTTCATAATGTCAGACTTTGTCTTCGATAAATTTATAGTGGTTTTGAACAAATTTATAGTGAATTTTCGTCTAGTTCGTAGTGGATATTGATAAATTTATAGTGGTTTTCAACAAACTTACAGCGGATTTTGATAAGTTTACAGTGGATTCCACTTTGATAAACCTGCTGGATTTTTTTTTAATATTAAAAAAATAATAATTTTTTAATCGAAATAAAAAAAAGTTAATAAAAAAATAATTGAAAAAAAAAACATTTTCATCCAAAAAAGCTTGGGAAAAAAAAACAATTTAAAAAAAAATTGGAATTAAGAAAAAAAACCATTAAAACACCAAAAATAAAAATAAAGCCATTGTTTAAAAAAATAAGAAAAACATGAAAAATAAAAATAAGAAAAAAATAATGAAAAAAAAACCGAAAAAAATAATAATAATAATAGAAAAACCAATTTTTGTTTCAAATTGAAATAAAGGAAACCATAAAAAAAAAAAAGAAAAAAAAAATGAAAAATTGAAACTGAAATGGCGATATGGTGGTATATTAAGGGGATTTGCATATAAGATATTTTAGTTTATTGGATTTATGGCAAATAACAATTTAAAAATTGGATTTATTAAGAATTTCATATAACCCCATTTATTGTTATTTCAATAATATTTAAAGGCGGCGGTTATATGCAATCCCATTTTTTTATTAGTTCAAAACCTCCAACATAAAAATACTAATTTATCCTTAATGAAATTTAAAATCAAATAAAAAACACAAAACATTAAAAAAAAAATCATTTCCTTTGAGCAAGACCAAATAAAATACATAAATCCAGAAACACATCTTCCTTCTTTCACGACTTAAAAATCTCCTCCTTCTTCTCCTTCTTCTTCACAAACCCACCAAGAAATCCTACACACCAAAATTATCAAATACATACCAAACATTCACGATGGAACCAGAAAACAATGATATGGTGGTTTACGAGGGTGGAGAACACAATGAAGTATGTTTTAAACCGTTTATTTTTGCTTTTGGGTCGTTTGTTTTTTGTTGGGAGAAAAATTCGACGATACCAAAAATCGGTCTGCAAATACCGATTTTTGTTACTAAAGCCGGTAACCACATTCCGATTATTTTAATAAAAATCGGTACTTAAAAACCGATTTTTGTAGTACAAATCGGCATGACAACACCGATTTATTTTTGTATTATCGGTATTGTCATGCCCACTTGTACTACAAAAATCGGGTTTTAAGTACCGATTTTATTACATGTGTTTTTTTAAGACCGTTTTCTGATACTTTCGTGCAGCAACCTAGGGAATTGATGGAGGATTATTCAAATGAATTATCTACGAATAAATATTTGAGACACGGAAAGCTCTACTCGATTGGGTTAAAGGAGTTGGTAGACGCCACCGAATGGTGATAAACATTTTCGTTTCAAAAATATTAAAAATATCAATTAACCAAATATATAATGTATTATTTAAAAAACAAAATCCGAAAAATATCGGTATCCGAAAACCGATTTTGTACTCAATAATCGACATTAGAACGCCGATTTTGACTTGTTAAGTCGACATTGTGTCGCCGATTTGGTTAACAAAAATCGGCATTATGACGGCGATTTTCGTGTACAAAAATCGGTCTGGGTAAACCGATTTGGGAAACCAACGAAAAAAAAAATCAATTTCAATCTCAATTTTTTTTCCAAAATCGGCCAAAGCCCTGCAACCCAACAAGAAATAAGCATAGATTAATGTTCATTCATACATATTTATCAAGAATCGATGCTCGATTAATGTTTTCGAATTTACAAATAAAAGTTTAGTAAAAAGGACATCAATGCTCGATTAATGTTTTCGAATTTACAAACAAAAGTTTAGTAAAAAGGACTTACTTGTTGGTGGTGGTGCGGTGGGTGGGTCGCTGGTCATCGCCGGTGCTGTGGAAGTCTCGTTGGTCGGCGTCGCGGCGGTCTGGCGGCAATCTTGTTATTTTCTTTATGTTTTTTTTTTTGTTTTTTTTTTTAATTTTTGGTCTTGAACAAATTAAAAATAGGATTTATTTGTATTTGAGTATTATTTGTGGATAAGGGTATATTTGTCATTTTTGGTCTTCATGTAATAAAATTAGATTAATTTACGAGTTTGAATTAATAAACTCCTTTATATGGATTTGAACTAATAAAAAAACGGGCTTGATATAACCGCCGCCATATTTAAATTACCTGATTCGACCCATAAAGCGCAATCGTCTTATTCAAAATTGCTCTGTAGTCGCCCAAACCCGTGCGCCGAAACGCTGTCGTCTTCTTGAACACCAAATTCTTCTAGTTGAGCCCTAATTCCCCACTCCTGCCTTTACTTCTTCGATGGCCATTCCATTTTGTCTGGATATGTAACAACAAGCTCCATAGTCCAACTTAGTTCAATTGCGATTAATTGTAATCTAGAGGTATAAATTTGATGTTATGCATGTGATCCCAAATCAAAACTCAAATATATCGATATTGGTGGAGTTCATCCTAAACAAGAGAAAGAAGGCTAACAGAATGCTTAAGAGGTGAACCAAAAACAAATTTTATTAGTTTTCTTTGTTTAATGATTTCTATCCATTTATTCATAAGGTTTGTTAATATGTATGCAGCACATTCGCATTCGTTGAATCCCATAAATACATTATTATAATATTTCAATAACAATAATACACAATAAGTTTACATCATTCATCCGTATTAATCACTACAGTACTCGTCTATGTCAATTTTACTTTCCGGGTACGAAGTTAGTGGCAAAGGCCCAGGCATTGTTGTTAACGGGATCGGCAAGATGGTCGGCAAGGTTTTCGAGTGGGCCCTTTCCGGTGACAATAGCCTGAACAAAGAATCCGAACATGGAGAACATTGCAAGTCTGCCGTTCTTTAGCTCTTTTACCTTGAGCTCAGCGAAGGCTTCGGGGTCCTCAGCAAGGCCCAATGGGTCAAAGCTACCACCCGGGTAAAGTGGGTCAACAACCTCACCGAGGGGCCCACCGGCAATTCTGTAGCCCTCAATAGCTCCCATCAAAACAACTTGGACACCCCAAATGGCCAATATGCTCTGAGCATGGACCAAGCTTGGGTTGCCCAAATAGTCGAGGCCACCCTCACTGAAGATTTGTGATCCGGCCTTGAACCAAACAGCCTCACCGAACTTGACACCGTTGCGGGCCAAAAGCTCGGGGAAGACGCAACCAAGAGCACCAAGCATGGCCCATCTTGAGTGGATCACTTCAAGCTCACGGTTCTTGGAGAATGTTTCGGGGTCAGCCGAAAGTCCAGCTGTATCCCACCCGTAGTCACCTGGGAACTCACCGGTGAGGTAGCTAGGTGCCTCCCCGGAGAATGGACCCAAATACTTGACACGGTCTGGGCCGTACCATGGGCTGCCGGATGACGCAGGCTTCGGCTTTGCGGCGGTTTTCCTCATTGAGACACGGCTGTAGTTGGCGGTGATTTCGGGAGAGAGCTTCACTGCCTGTCCGGCGAAAGATGGAGAAGACAACGCCATTGAACTTGAAGAGGCAGCCATTATTGTATTATGAAATGAAAGAATATGTATTTGCAAAGAATGTTTAATTTATATGAGCGAGGGTCCTAATAATTATCTAAATATCATTATCCAGATTGCTATTGGTCTAGGTGGCATATATGTATATTTGGCAACGGCTATCACCACTAATCCTCTTTGAATTTGGAGACATGAGGATGTAAGAATCTCACGAGATGTGTGAGTGTTTTCTTTTGACCAATGAGGTTTTGCCAAGTGTGCGGTCTGAATATGTATGTATGAAAATAGAGATGCTTGGAGTTGGATGTGAATATCTGAACATCCTCATATTGAAGCATAGCCACATGCGTACGATTTTTAGGAATCGAAGATGTGTTGGTTTATGTAATTGTTTATTTATTAGGGAACTAATTATATCTTTTTCCAGATAATAAAAAATATGCAGATACACTTCAAATACTTCATGACAATTTTTTTTTTTTTTTGAAAAAAAAGGGACAAAATGCACTTCACTCTCTATAAATTTTCCATTCTTGCATTTTCACCCCTAAAAATTCTACAAAGGGATCTACCCACTTCGAATTATTGTTTTAGTTGCCCTTTGCTCCAAAAGCCAATTACCAGTGGACATCGTGCACCAAAAATAACATTTTAAATCGGCAATGTGCAGAAAAATAATATTTTTATGGGCAAAGTGCAACAAAAATAACATTTAAAGTGGTAACGTGCAACAAAAAAAGTCCATTCCGATAAATAATCCATCAGAATTTTGCTATAGGGATAATGTGCAACAAGAATAACATTTTGAAAGGGGGCATTCACTTTTTTAAATTTGGAGGGGTAAAGTGCGAAAAATAGAAATTTATAGGGGTGACGTGCAATTTGTCCACGGAAAAATAAGCATTACCCACCCCATATTTGGCGAATTCATGTAGGAGAGAACTCCCTCTTTTTTTCTAATTTGAGAGAACCCCTTTTGTTGTTAGTTTGGGTGACTAATAGTAGCAAAATTTCAATTATACCCTTAATGATTTATAAATTACAAACACCCCCTGAGGTATGGTCAATTTACAAAAAAACCCCTCTTGTTTGGATAATTACATCTACCCCTCAACTATGCTTTTTTTTCTTACACATCCACCCTTATGGTGTCAAATTCAATATAATCATCTAGATTTCGTGGAATGTGCTCTAGTTTGTTCTCGTTTTGAGTAAAAATACAGTTTCTGATGCACCACAATCTGATAAATACAAGCCAAAAAACACTTATTATGATCATCTTGCTTCAAAATGTAGAGTTCGAATGGGATAAAACGGGTACAAAAGTGATAATATTCTATATAATCTCGAAGATTCCACTAAATTTGAGGAGTTGAGGGGGTGGTTGTAATTATCCAAACAAGAGTGGGGTTTTCGTAATTTAATCATACCTCAAGGGGGTGGTTGAAATTTACCCTAACATTTTTAACCCTAATTTATTAATTATCATCTCTTGCGCCGTTCTTTCCTCTCTCTTTTCTTTTTCTCGATCGAAAGAAATTGTATTCTCACTCTTTTCTCTTCTTCCCTATCCTCTCTCCCTCTTTACAATAGTAGATCGATGGTTAGGTTGTGCAATGGGTCGCTTACATGCAGCGGATGGCGACGTTGAACGCTACGGCGCAGACTAATGTCTGCGAATGAGGAAGACAAGGACTAAGGCACGCCAGGGCCATCGAATAATGTGCAAATTGTGCTTGAGGGAGTAAGTGATACAAATGATACTTTAAGTTGTAAGTGTTACAGAGGGTATACTTTAGAGGTATAAATTATATTACCCATAATTAAACAATATTTCTCTAGAAATTTCAAAATTATGCCCAATAACTAATAGGTCTGTGATTGTAAATATAGTCAATTTTAAAATAATTTATGGCTGATATTATCAAATTAGTAGTTAACTAACTTTCAATGAAAAACGGCTTAAGTCCACTTTGCAAGCTTTTGAAATATACCATTTTGGCCATTTGCACCTTCGAAATAAATTAATAGCAATTGCCCCTCGAAACACAATAAATCATGCATAATCTACTCCAAATGAATTTTTAAAATTAATAAAGGTAATTTAATATTTTTAGTTGTATTTTTTTAGAATGCCAAATATCAAAATAATTTTTTTTAAGAACTCTTTTGTTGAGGAGGACAAAATCTGGAAATATTAAATTTTTCGTCCTCAAACTTTACTCATTTTTTTCAAAATTTTCCTACAAACATTTTGAAGTAACAATATTAGTCCTCAATCAAGTCAGTTTTGACATAATTGTCTGCCGTTTACATTTTCAGTTATGTTGGATGGAAAATGACATGTGCCTCTCACGTTCAATTTTCAACACTACAAAAAAATAGATTTTTTAAAAGACGCATTGCTTTTTGTTATTACATAATTTTCATAATTATTTTTTATAATTAAAATTTGATATAAAAACAAAAATCACGTAAATTCGAAAAAACCAACTCGATAAATTGTTTCACAATATTTTCAGAAATATTGTTTAAAAAATCAAAAAAATCTATACTACTTATAAAAGGAGGAATCCTATGGTGGTTTCTTCCGTTTTTTGAAGAGACAAAAATACCCTTTGGCAAGTTCAAACCTTTAAGGACAATTGAGTAATATAAACTGATTGTTAATTATTACAAATTAATATTAACTTATGACATTAAATAATTATATTATTAACTATTGCCAAATATAGAATGGACAAGTTTAAATTATTAAGGTCAATTTATATAACAAAAAATCTATATGCACTTACAATAGAATTAACGAAAAAATTAATACCAACATAACAGTTTAAAATTAGTTTTAATTATCTTAACATATATCGTTATCTAAAATGTAATTAAAAAACTCTTTATTTAATTAGTTAGTATCAAATTTCTTCAGTTGAAGAATTTTTAACACTCTCCGAATTTTGAATATCTATGTCTACTAATAAAAAAATAGTTTATAAAATTCATAATTTTATCTATGCCAATCAGTAATTACTATAATATGTAAGATTAGAAGTACGAGTAATATAAATAAATAAATAATTAGTTTAATTTATTTATAAAAATAAATTGTAATCTCATTTTGAATACAATTTCTATAATTCACAAATACTCAATATTGATAAGCAAAAACTGTCTGATTCCTAATGATTGTTCAACTAATTCTTAATGTATTTATTAATATTTAATTAATGGCAACTTTATTGAGCTTGAAATTTGTATAGTCTCAAGTCTTTAATGTAGATTCATTATACCCTCAAACAATTTTTGTTTAAAAAATATGGCATTAAAGATAAATTGCATATGTTTTTGTAATCTGTTTTATGCTCTAGATATACCGAAAATAAGGTTACGCCATGATCCACCACGGCACCACCACCTACGACCATAAAAAATGTGGAGAATCAGACAAGCACCATTGGTGGTTACATAACATCTTACATTGATTTTTCAAGAGATAGCTCTTCGCATTTTGCGGTTTCAATGGCAGTAATGCCGATATGCAAGGTGACATGAATGATTTTAATCATTATCAGACAAATTACGAAAAAAACCCTGAGGTAAGGTCTAATTACAAAAATCCCCTCATATTTGTGTGATTACGAAAACCTCCTGAGGCATGTTGTCGTCTGACACAGTTTCCCTACGATGTTACTTTTAACGGAATCCTTTTTATTCCAATGGAACATTCATCTGAAAATGTCATTTTGGCCATTGTTGGGTAATTGTAAGCATATTAATTACTTAGGGGGGCATAATGTAGTATATTAAAGAAAAAAATTGTAGTTACTTTTAATTTTGAAACAATAATGTATTTCTTGTGTTTATAATTATTGAAAATGGAAAATATATGTAAACGAATTAAAGATATCTTGTAATATTAAATTTTTTTATTCGTTTTGTATTTGTTTTGTTTATAATTTTATAATTATTTGTTCAATAAAATCGTTTCACATATTTTGGAAACATATTCCCGTATTTCTTATTTTAGGTTAAAAAGATTTTCATTAATTTTTAATAAATTTCTAATAATATTTCAATTTTAACAAATAAAATTGAAAAAGTATATATTAAATATAAATAAATTATAAAAAAAAAATATTATTTTATTCGTCAATAGTAACATCATAGGGGCATGTGTAAGACGACAACATACCTGACATTACATCGAAGGGTTTCTCATAATTTATCATTTATTGTTTTTTAAATAACAGAAGGGTAAAACAGACAAGATACATTTTATGTGAATTTAAACGGTCAAACGCTGGTCAGAAGAGGATTTTTTTTAATTAGGCTTTATCTCATAGGGGTTTTCATAATTTGCCCTAATTATTATAAAGATACATGTAAAACTTATATATTAATTATTTGTTATTTTACCTTTTTAGGTTGGCTTCTATTTGTTATATATTAATTTCTTGGGTGACTGATTTGACTTCAAATTTTCTAGACCACGTAAGTATTTGTTGACAACAACAAATATAATAACACCTCAGGCTAGACTCAAATTGTAAATTTGGAGGCAAGTTCTCGAGATTTCAATACTTATAATTTTAATTGATAAATTTGATAAGTTTATGTTATATTGTTTCTTCGATAACTGAAATTATTTTCATTAATTTTGGAGGTTTTAGTTCCAGTTTGTACCCTCGAGATGTAGCATTTTGGCACTTTGCATCTCTAAAAAATAATATCACGTTCACCCCAACATAAGTTTTAAGATTAATGAAGATAATTTCATGTTTTAGTAGCATTTATAAATGAGTTTCTTTTATGTGATAAATATAATTCAAAAATAGAATTCTGATAAATAAATTACAAATTTACTGGATATGTACCACTTTTTCGGAATTGGTAAAAAAATGATGATTTTTTTTGTATGAAAACGATACATTTTATGTAATTTGGTGAATAACTAGTTAAAGCATATAAAATTAAAAAAATTAATACTTTGTACATAGAAAATAAATATTTTTATATGGGTGTGGTCATCGATGGTATTTTGATCTTTGCATATATATTTTTGTG